TCTTCTTCTACTACTACTACGACTACTAGTACTACCACTACTACTATTAACTACTACTACTACTACTACTACTACTACTACTACTACTACTATCGCTACTACTTCAAATGCTACTACTCCTGCTGCTGCTGCTGCTGCTGCTACTACTACTACTACTACTACTTCTACTACTACGACTACTAACTACTACAACTGATACTACTACGACGACTATTACTACTACTACTACTACTACTACTACTACTATTACTACTACTAGTACTACCACTACTACTTCCTTTAAAACTCCTGCTACTAGTACTACTACTACTACTACTACTACTACTACGACTACTACTACTACTACTACGACTACGACTACTACTACTACTACTACTTCTACTACTACTACTACTACTAGTACTACTACTACTACTGCTCCTACGACTACTACTACTAACTACTACCACTACTACTACTACTAACTACTACTACTACTACTAATTAGGAAACTAACTTAAACATACAACTACTCAACTTCTACTACTACGACTACTACTACTAAGACAGCAGCAGCACTACTAGTACTACGACTACTACGACGACTAACTACTACTACTACTACTGCTACTACGACGGATACTACTACTACTACTACTACTACTACTACTACTACTACTACTACTACTACTACTACTACTACTATTACTACTACTACCACTACTACTACTACTACTACTACTACTACTACTACTACTACTACTACTACTACTACTACTACTACTACTATTACGACTACTACTACTACTACTACGACTATTTCTGCGACTATTACTACTACTACTACAACTACTACTACTATTACTACTACAAATACTACTACTACTACTAATGGACTACGACTACGACTACTAACTTTACTACTTACAACTACGACTACTATTACTACTTAACTACTACTCAGCTATACTACTACTACTACAACTTCTATACTACTACTACTACTACTAATAATACAAAAATAATAATCGGACTACGGACTACGACTTACGACTACGACTACTAATATACTATACTACCACTACCACTCCACTACTCGATACTACGACTTACTATACTACTACTACTTACCACTACTACACTACTACTACTACTACTACGACTACACTACTACTACTTTACTACGACCGCTTTACTACTACTACTTACGCTTACTACTACTACTACTACTACTACTATTACTACTACTACTACTACGACTAATACTACTACTACTACTACTACTACTCTACTACTATTACTACTACTACTACGACTACGACAAGACGACCACTACTACTACTACTACTACTACTACTACTACTACTACTACTACTACTACTACGACGACTACTACTACTACTACTACTACTACTACTACTACTGCTACCACTCCCACTACGACTATTACGAGTGCTAATAATAGGAATAAGAAATGAGAGTATGACTACCAGCATTAGAAGTAGTAGTAGTAGTAGTAGTAGTAGTAGTAGTAGTGGTAGTAGTAGTAGTAGTAGTAGTGGTGGTCGTAGTAGTAGTAAAAGTAGTAGCAGTAGCAGTAGTCGTAGTAATAAGAATAATACCCAGAATGGTAGCAGTAGTAGTAATATTAGTAGTGTAGTAGTAGTAGTAGTAGTAGTAGTAGTCGTGGTAGTGGTAGTGGTAGTGGTAGTGGTAGTAGTAGTAGCAGTAGTAGTAATAGTAGTAGTAGTAGTAGTAGTAGTAGTAGTAGTAGTAGTAGTAGTAGTAGTCGTAGTCGTAGTAGTAGTACTAGTAGTAGTAGTAGTAGTACGAGTAGTAGTAGCACGAGTAGTAGTAGTAGTAGTAGTAGTAGTAGTAGTAGTAGTAGTAGTAGTAGTACAGCTATGATTCGAAACTGGCCTGGCGTATGAGAAAGTTCGGCCCGTTTGCCCCCCGCCGCCGACCAGAAGTGTCTTGCCCAGAGATGATCAGCACTGGGGGGTCAAGGGGGGGGTAGTGCTTCAGATCTGGGGCATGGGGCTGTATGATAATGCCGCGACGCTGCGTGCGGTCGCTGCGGCCGTACAGCGCGTGTTATGTTCGTCCGTCGGCTCTCCCGCGGGGTCCTGCACAGTGAGGTTGCCGTCCCTGTGCACGTCGCACCACTCCCAAGCTTTCCGCGTGCTGCCAAACCTTCCGCAGGCGTGGCAGGCTGCAGGGCGGAGGAGGGCGGCCGCTCTCACAAGCGAGCATGTGGAGGAGGAGGAGGAGGAGGAGGTACAGGAGAAGGAGGAGGTACAGGAGAAGCTATTGAATTACTGCATTGAGACAATGTCTCGCGATCTCGCTCGAGGGGCCGGAGGGCCGTCAGATGATCTTCGCGGCTCAGACGATGGTAGCGCCATCCACTTCCCTGCCACAACAGGACCACCCAAGCAAAAAATATAAACCGAACCCGAGGCCTCGATCGCGGAACTCGGATCGCCACCACAGAAGTCCGCACAGCGGGGTCCTGGCAAGGCCTCTGCCTGTCTGAGGACGTAGGCGACAAAACGGAACGCCCGTGAGGGGTCCTCGGGGACGGCGGTTGACTGACGCGCTGCAGGTTTCCCAAGGCCAACGCTCGAGGGCAAAACAGCGACTGCGGCGAAAAGAACGACAGTGGGCACGTCTCTTCGGGCCAATGCACGAGGGGCAGATCGTCCCAATCGGCTGGGGGTTCGCTCCCGCGCTCGCGGCCGAGAAAGCAGGGGCGCCTGCAGGCTGGCGTCACGAAAGGCTGATTCTGTCGCAAGCTGATGCTCCGCCTCGAGGACCGCCTGCGAGGGCCCTGATGGAGAAGGGTGCGATCCGCGCCAGATTCGAGCAAGGTTCTCTTGCCCCGTGCCAGTCGGGGCGGCCAGTCCGTCCGTTCCTGCGGCGTCAGACAGGGGAGAAGTGGTGCCGAGCTTGACGACGTTGTGCGCAGCTGTGCGCCCGCATCTGCTACGGAGCAGCCGCTGCCACCGCGCCACTTAGGCGGCAAGCAATCGCGTGCTGTGACCCAGTCGTCCCTTGATGGACCGCGGACCCTGGACGGGGAACACGGCACCCGCGCCAGAGAGCTCAAGACGGGATTCGACTGCGACGCAACCCGTTTGTGAAGCAGCAGAAAAACTGACCAGGATCTGCCAACCACTTAAAAGCTGGCGCCTGCGTGTGCTGGCGCACTGTGCAGAGGAATGGTGCGAAGAGGCAGGGACAGACTGGAGGCGGAAGCCGTCTCGGGTCGCTCTTCGACTGGCCAGACACTGCGAATCTCAGGACCCTCCACGAGGGAGCGGAGAATCGCTCGGAACCTTGAACGGACGAGGCCAGCGATGGCATCGCCCTCGTCGGCCCAGGGAAGCGGTGGGACGGCTGTGCCCAGGGCTCTCTGTGCTGCAGTACCAGCTAGCACGTCCGCCTAGTGATTGCCCGCTGCCAAAAGAAGTCAGTGTCCATTAAACTTTTACAGCGGTTGGTGGGAAGGAACCCACACCACATTCACATCGTTGGCTCCACCCTGCCTATCGCGCAGCAGTTGGCGGATACGTTGCCAGAGGTCGCCATTCCTTTGGAGACTCCAAGCCTTACAACTCGGCCAGGTTGCGTTTCTGAACGTATGTGAGCTGACCTGCGGTGGTCTCTATGACCAGATAAAAGGCATACAGCTCGCCTCAATGAACCGTTTGTCGAGGACCACGGAGAAGGGCACGGAGGCCCGAAGAGAAGGTCCAGGAGAAATCGGAATCCCATCAGAGCGAAGCAACTCCAGAGGAGGAGGGGGAGAGGGAGGAGGAAGAGGAGGAGAAAGAGGAGAGGGAGCAGGAGGAGGGGGAAGTGGAGGACTGCGAGTCCCAACACGGTGTGGCGACAGACCGTGTGATGACCTTGAACCCCCAAAAATCGGTTTGGGAACTCTGCAGGCCCTAGGCGCTCGAGACATCCTCAGAGGGAGCCACCGAAATTCCAAAACGCTCCGCTGAACCCGAATCACCTGACGGTGTTGTCACCGCACCGTGGGGAGGGGAGTTGGGGTGCGCTCGTTACTCAAATCTGGCCGCCAAGCCGAAACAACAAAGTTTGCGCCTGCGCTTCGTATCAGAACCGCGTTTCCTGGACCTCTGGCCAAGCCTTGAGTTGAAGTTGAAGAGATTGGCTCGCGCTGCGGTGCCTACATGGCGGTCCACCTCAAGGGTGGCCGTGTTTCCATGCATCAGTGGGCAGGAAATTAAACGACGATAGAGATGAGACAGAGCCAGAGGGAGAAAAGAGGGGACGGAGGAGGATGCAGGGTTTCATGCAGGCTTCATTGGAACTGCGCGTGCCCTGTCGCAGCCCTCGAGCTCTGATCGTCCTCAGCGACGCTCGACCGCCCTGGGCCATGCAGTCGGTGCAGCACCCCGGAAACAACGAGGTCGATGGAGGATCCCCTCATCTTCTGGCGGATGTACCTCCCACCAGAGCTTACAGCTGACGAGCACAGGCGCTGCATTTACACGCACTCACAACGGAGAGCGTCCGCGGACCTTCCCAAACACACACCGCCCCGCGGGCTGGATCGCCTGAGCCGACTTGGAATCTGCCGGCACCTGTCGGCGCCAGGCTGTGCAATTTCATGCTGGACTTATGTATTAATGCTCTTGTTGTTGGTGGTGTTGCCACTTGTCTCTCCTGTCTTACCTCCTCTCTACATCCAGGAGAACCGCTACATCCCGCCAGCCCATTGGGCGCAGGTTGTTTAACGAGTTAATACCTTCTGCTTGCCATTCAGGGACAGGTGTACCTCTCAAACTACCCCTTCTCCCTCAGTCTGGAGAGCGGTGTCGCAAAGGGTTAGAGTTAGAGCGTCCAGGATGGCCGATGTATGCCGAAATGGAGGGTGGAACCGCACGTGAATGCAGCCACTGGGGCCACGAAACGCGTGAGGGTGTGTCGAAATGGGGGGCGGAACAGCACGTGAACCCAGCCGCTGGCGCCTTGATTCAGTGGAGCCCCCTATGGGGCCACAAAACGTGTGAGCGGTGTGCCGACAAGGGAACGGCCGGGCCATGCGGGCGCTGCCAGTTGGGCCTTCGGTGGATCCCCCTGCGGAGCCACGAAACGAGTGAGGGGTGGAATCGCATGTGAACGCAGCCACTGGGTCCTTGGGTGGAGCTCCCTCTGGGGCCACGAAACGTGCGGGGTGTGATGAAATGGACATGCGCACGGCTGAGGCAGGGACGGGAGGAGGGAGGAGGGAGACTAGTGGGAGCGGGGAAGGAGAGGAGGACAGAACGCGGGGTGCTCTCTTTTCAAAGGAGGATCCAACACGGGATGGTTGGGATAAGAGAAGCCGAAACCTCAGAAATCACCAGAAAGCCGAAAACCGAAGATGACGGCGAAGGCGGCGACGGCGACGAGGGCGAGGGAGGAGAGCGGCGACGGCGTCGACGGCGACGATGGTGACGAGGACGAGGGATGAGGAAGGGGACGACGACAACGACAACGACGACAACGACAACAACGACAACGACGACGACGACGACGGCACCGACGACGACGACGACGACGACGACGACGACGACGACGACGACGGCACCGACAGTGACAAAGGCGGCGACGAGGAAAAGAGGCCGAGGGAGGCGACGGCGAGGACGAGAGGACCGCTGGTACAGCTTGGCCGCCATGTCCTCCAGGGCGTCGCCCCGCCCCACGATGGCGGCGTTCTGCGTGCGCCACTTGTCCAGGCCCGTCTGCTCGACTCTGCCCCGGGCCCCGTCGGCGGGGCCGTCCTGCGGCGGGCGCGGCGCGCCGGCGCTGCCACGCGAGGCGGTGGCGCGGGAGGGGGGGGCGGCCTCGTCGGGGGGGACGAGAAGGGGGGGGTGGCAAAGGGCAGGGTAATTAGAGAATCAGCTCACGCAGCTGGTTTTCCCAGCGCCTCCCCGCGCCGGGAGGCGCCCACGCATGGAGGAATGGGCCCGGCGGCGGGGCCTCAACCAGCTGCATGCAGCAGACTTCGTAACCCCCCCTTTCCCCGTACCCCCCTGCGTTCGGCCCGACTTTTGAAGAGGCGGGGGGCTTCGGTGAAGGCTTCCACCATCTGAAGAGCGGGAAGGCCCTCCTAAGAAGGCCACTGCCTTTCAGCAAAGCCAACGGCTTCTGGGCAAGGACCTGCCCCCTTACGGCGCCACCCCAGTGTGCGCGCCGCCGAGAAGCGCAGCACAACATCCAGGTGGTAACTCCCTGGAGGCCTTCGTGGGCAGGGTCGGGTGTTGTCGCCAAGCTCGACTGGAAAACCATCGGGCCAGATTTACGCGGTACTGAACAGGACTAGCCTTAGGTCGGGCATGTTCTCCTACAGGCGGAGTTTGGACGGAAAAATAAAAATAGTCACAAAAAAAACGCAAAAAAGATAAAAAGACTCAAAAAATCGTCACCATATTATTGTTTGACTACTTGGGAATTATTCCTCCTGTAGAGGGACATGCCCGACTTAAGACCAGCCCGGCCCGATCTGAGAACAGGCCAGACCTGGCCGGGCTGCGCAGGCCAAACCAGGCGGGGCGGGTGGAAACGCAGGGGCCAACGGACGACGAGCCGAACCGCAAGGAGGTGCAGCCCGACACAGAGACGAGGTCTCCCGCCGCCCAGGCGAGGATAGCCCAGAAGCGAACCGGCAAGGCGGATCGGCGATGGAGATCGATCGGGATCGGCGGAGATCGGCAGCCGAGGCCGGCAAAGTGGAATCGGCGGCCCTCGGCAGTTCAGCAGTGCTCCATTGAAAATTCGGAGCCCACATCGGGATCCGGAGTCGAATCGAATCGGACTCGGAAGCCACCGAGGTCGAATCACATCGAACCGGAGGAATAAAAAAATGAGCCCTGCCTGGGCCACCCTCGGCGAGTTCGTGTCGTGACGACCCCAGCGCTGGCTCCTGACACCACCTGGATCGCTCGGCCTTCAACGATCGGCGGCTTGTGAGCATCGCTGGACCGACCCCCATCCCCACCAGCGTGGGCCGGGCCCCCCTGGCCGGTTTGCCCCCCTGGCTGGGGATATAGGCTGCTCTCTTCGGGTTCTGAGGAGCAGATCCCCAACTGAGGTGGTGAGACGGTGGGGCTCGAGATGCGGATGTTGGGCAGGGACCGACCGTCCCGGCATTCCTATAGTCATACCACGACATTTTCATAGAACCCGAAAATGTTCTAAGAACAAAACAATGTTCTTAGAACATAAGTCCGATGTGTTAAAACGAGACAGCCCCAGCCAGAAATGTTATGAGAACATTTCGTGGGAACCACAAACGGTTCTTAGAACATTGTTTGGTAGGGCTATAGGCGAGCCAGGACGCTTCGCCACTGCTTGAGGATGGGGATGGGGACAGGGATCGGTTCAACGATACTGAGCTTTCCGATCCCCAGAGCGCTTCTGGGAGGGTGAAAGAGGGGGTCTGCAACAGGGGGTCTTCCACGGGGGCTGAATGGCCCATGTATGCTCAATGTATCGTTCTGAGGGGCAGATCCCCAACTGATGTGGATGGGGATGGGGACAGGGATCGGTTCAACGATACTGAGCTTCTCGCTCCCCAGGCTTCTTCACACTGGCCGAGAGCCCGGGGCACCGGCAGCCTTCCAAAAACCTGCAACACGCCCGCGCCGGGGCCGCCGCCACGGCAACACGACTCGACCTCACCGCACACTCGCTGCGTCGTCGTCGTCGTCGTCGTCGTAGTCGTCGTCGTCGTCGTCGGCGGCGGCGGCGGCGGCGGCGGCGGCGGCGGCGGCGGCGGCGTCGTCGTCGTCGTCGTCGTCGGCGTCGTCCTCGTCGTCGGCGTCGGCGTCGGCGTCGGCGTCGGCGTCGGCGTCGGCGTCGTCGGCGGCGGCGGCGGCAGCGTCGTCGTCGTCGGCGTCGGCGTCGTCGTCCTCGGCGTCGGCGTCGGCGTCGGCGTCGGCGTCGGCGGCGTCGGCGTCGGCGTCGGCGACGTCGTCTCCGCGGCCCAAACAATATCGACCTCTTCCCCGAGAGTGGGGTTGCGTTCTGGACCTGTTTCTGATGGGCCCCAGGCATGGTGATGGGCCCCAAGGGCCGAAATCAAGGAAGAAAAAAACCCGGAATGAACAAAAACAGACCGTCGGATATCAGATCTTGGGGATCTTCTGACCCAGGTCGGTCCAGACCCGGACCAGTCAGGCCTTGCAGGATCCTGCAAGATCCAGCAGGATCCTGCAGGATCCTGCACCCAATGCTGGGCCAATGCACCCCTGGCCATGCAGGATCCTGCAAGATCCGGCGCTCTGACTAACCCACGTTTGTAGGGAGCCCACAAGAGACGTACGCGCCCAACGCTGTACATGAACACGGCCCCCCAATCCGCGAGACTGGCCGCGTGATACGAACGTTCGCGCAACGCGTACGCTCGAAACCATCGTGGATTCATGCACGTGCACGTCCTCCTTTCTCACTCCTGAGTTCGTATTGGCCCCCGTCTCTAGAGCCCCGAACACCGGCCGACTCTGGGCCACCGGCGGCGCTCCGCCTTGCACGCCCGCGACGAGCTCCGCGCCCCGGCGACACGACACGAACCTGCCGCGCCGTGACGCTCCGCGCCGCACCGACCGCCGCGAGGGGGGGGCATGACGGAAGGGGCCCTGGGGCACACACATAAATACACACACACACACACACAAATAACGGGATTCCCCATATTCCCCATATTTTCTGGGTTTGTGTCTTGCCCCCCACTTCCCATATTTTCCCAGATTTCTGGGAATCGACGATTAATTGCGTCTGAGTGTTTTGCCCATGAGACAGGGGGCAGGAGAGCCCGGAATCGAATCGGCAAGTCGGACCAGCAATCGACGTGAACCGGCTCGGCGGAACTATCGGCAGCCAAAGTCGGGAGAAGCCGAATCGGCGGACATCGGCAGGCTAGTGTAAACCTGGAGGCGTTCGGTCGTTTCGGCAGGCTGGTGTAAGCCTGGAGGGGAAGCCTGGAGGTGCTCGGTCGCTTCGGCTCGGGCTTCGTAGCTCCAGGTTTCCGAGTCTTCGCTGGCTCTCAGCGGCGTCCAGCCTCAGGATGTAGGGAGCCACATGCGAACCCCACCCCTACCCCTCAGAAATCGTGGGGGGTAGGGGTAGGGTTCGCATCTGGCCCCCTAGGATGCTCTCCAGTGGCTGCGCCTCGCCGAGAGCTCTCCCGGGGGTGCCCCGATCGTCCCAGACGGCCGCCAGCAGCCCGAGCCGTGGCCCGAAGGCCACCGGGGACCGACTCGGGGGAGAAACACACATCGACCCGGAAGCTCGACGCGTCGCCGACAGATCGGCGACGGGCCCCCGATGGCGAATCCGCACGCCCCTAGGCGGGGTGGGCTACTGGACTGCCTACCAGACCACCCCAACCCAACCCGAAGACCCGAACTTCGCCCGAGTTTCGGGTTGGGGGGGGTGCGGGCTTCAGATGTGGTTTTTCAATGTTCCCCGCCCGCCCCCACCCCACCGGAAATGGAGGGCAAATCGGGGCCTTCGGGTTGGGTTGGGGTGGTTTGGTGGGCGGTGAGCCGTCGGGCCCCCGTCCGCGATCAGTGGGCGAGTGGGGGTCGACGCGTCCCCCTGACGTTGCTCCCTGGCCTTCGGGTCAGAGCTCGGCTCGCAGGCGGCCGTTCGGGGCGACCTGGGCAACCCTGGAGCGCCCTCGACGGAGCGCAGCTGGAGGAAACCACCCCAGGACTCGAAAACTCAAGGGAATGCTCCCCCCAAAAGCCCATCCCCTCCCTGGGGCGGCGAGCCCAGGGGGGAAGTGAGAGGGGGGCAGGCAGTCTCACAAGGCGGCGGCGCTTCGTCTGAGAGGCCGTCGGAGAAGTCCTCTCCGAGGAGGCCTGCCCCCTCGCACCTCCCCCCGCCGGGCCCGCCGCAGACCCTCCCCGTTGCCATCGCTCGGACGTCCACGCCCCGTGCACTGTGTGGCTTCGTGCGTGCTCTCTAGCTTCCTAAAGTGATCCAAGATGCCCGGAGATGCCCCAGATGCTGGCGTTGGCCTCACCAGAAAAGAAGGGGAACCAAAAACAACGAACAAAAAAAGCCGCGCGATGCCAGGCCCCCCGAACGCTGCCCCATGCGAGGGGCGCAGTGGACACACAAAAAACAGGCACGACTCCCGGGAGTCGTGCCCCACATCTCCCGAATGCTCGTCCCCCCCTCCGCTTCCCGCATGTTCTCCACATTAGGGGGCCACATGCGAACCCCACCCCTACCCCCCACGATTTCTGAGGGGGAGGGTGGGCTTCACTTCGTTCGGGAGCTCCCGAGCGAAGTGAACCCCACCCTCCCCCTCAGAAATCGTGGGGGGCAGGGGTGGGGTTCGCATGTGGCCCCCTACACATCCTCCTGGGAGTCCACAGGGCCGCGTGCGCGCCTGTGCGTGCTCCCCCCCCCCCTGGCTGTACGCCTCGACGGGACGCCGAGGCCCCCGCAGGGCGACGCGCGCGCGGCCCTCCGCCTCCCCCGAGTGCGCCGCGCGAGCAATGCAAGCAAGGAGCTCGGCGGGCGCCCCCCCCCCGTGAGGCCCGCGCCCCGCCTGGGGCCTCTCGCACGGCCAACAGCACCGGAGGGCATGTGAGGCCTCGGGAGAGCTCTGAGAAGGATTCGAAGACCGCCATAACCAAGGGGCCGAGAAGGATTCGAAGAAGGGGCCATAACCAAGGGGCCAGGATCGCAGCGCCCTGAGAAGGGGCCGAGAAGGATTCGAAGACCGCCATAACAGAGGTGCTCGAGCGAAACCGTGTTTTTCGTTTGCCTTCCTGGGAAGCGACGACTCCGCGTGCCCCTGTGTGTGCGCGTGTGTGCGCGTGTCCTTCCCCCGTGCATGGCGGCCCAATTCGCGTCTCGTGCACCCCGCCTCTGCGCCTCCTCGCCTCTGGCCGCCGAAAGCAGCAAAGAGTGTGCGCCTTTCTCTCCTCCTGCCCGATGGCGCACTCCCGCCCCAGGCCGCAGGAGGCGCGGCGGCCTCGCCCATCCGCCCCCCCCCCCGACTCCCCCCCGCGGGCACCCCCCGCAGGCCGCGGAGCGCGCGCTCCCTCCCCGGGGCCCGGCCCAGGCACCGCTGTCCGTCGCAGCCCTGCCCGTTGCAGTTCCCCCTACAGGCGGATTGTGGGCCAAGAGTAGCAAGTAGTCCAAACAAATACTCAAACATGGTCAGAAAACAACAAAAATAGTAGAAACACATCGTCCCCCGACTATTTTTTGGCTATGTTTGAATATTCCTCCTGTAGAAGGACAGGGCCGGGGCAATCTGGCGGGGGGCCTGTCGGGAGAGGGGCTCCGGAGGCCCCCCCAGCGGATGCGAGCGAGGGGGGGGGAGAACGAGGGAGAAGGCCCTCTCAGAAGGCGGCGGCCCTTCTCAGAAGGCCTGCTCCCTCAGAAGGATTATTGTGCCTTCGGGGAAGGCTCAGAAAACTTCTCAGAAGGCGGGGGGGGGGGCGTCCGAACCTTCTGAGAAGGCCTTCTCCTTCTCACGTCCCCCCTAGCTCGCCGCCGACCCCGGGCAGGGACGAGGGGCTCCGAGAGCGAGGCACCCGGCCCGCAGAGAGAGTGCTCCTGCTGTGCGAGGCGGGGATACGTCCGTATCCGGGGCCTGGGGGACAGGCGTCCTGGGACCACAGCAGGCGGTGGGCATCGATGCATTCGCCCCGGGGGGGTGAGCCATATCCAAACGCCAGCCGAGGGCCTCGAAGATCTCTCCCCCAAGAGGTGGCTTATGGATAAACCCCGTCCTGGGACCACAGCAGGCGGTGGGCATTGCTGCATTCGCCCAGGGGGGGGTGGGCCACATCCAAACGCCTGCCGAGGGCCTCGAAGAGCGCTCCCCCAAGAGGTGGTTTACTGGGGCGCGCCGGCCTCTGGCCGTCTGCGCGAGCAGAGGGAGAACGGGACGCGGAAGCCCACCGGCCAAGACGACGACGACGACGACGACGACGACGACGACGACGACGACGACGACGACGACGACGACTGGCAGGACGACGACGACCGAGACGGCCAAGACGCCCTCGCCCAGGACGACAGCTTGACCCGGGGATCTCGCCCAGCGCCCTCCAGCCGGGGGGGGGGTCCTGGAAGCGCGCCTCCTTCGCCGTGCCGCGCGCCTCCCGAAAGCGGCAACGACGTCGGCGACGCTGCGGGGACGAGTACGACAACGTCCGCATGGACGGCAACAACGACGATGGCGATGATGACGAGTCGACGACGACTACGACGACGACGACGACGACGACGACGACAACGACGACGACGACGACAACGACGACGACGGCGACGACGACGACGACAACGACGACGACGGGAACGACGACAACGAGGAAATCTTTGCAAACAGCGCCGTTCCTGAATTTGGAGGCCTCTCGGAGGTCTCATAGAAACCTGTTTAAGAAGAGCGGGAGCCGATGCCGTTTTATGAGGGGGCCCAGGGACACACACACACACACAAAAAAAAAAAAAAAAAAAAAACATACACACATGCCAGGATTCTCCCTTTTTCCAATATTTTGTTGAAACCTTGCGTCTTCCCCCTTACTTCCCATAGTTTCCCAATTGTGTCTGTGTTGTTTTCCCTCCTGAGTTTTAGCTAGGCTCGCAAAAAAGCATCAACTGCGAGGACGTCTCGGGCCAGAAGGCTGCTCCACGGTGCAGAAGCCGAGCCTGGGCCAGCAGGCGAAGGCAGCAGAAGGCATCCCAGCAGACTTCTCGACTGTCCACTGCGCACTCCCCGTCCAGGGCCCCCTCCTCCTCCTCCTCCTCCTCCTCCTCCTCCTCCTCCTCCTCCTCCTCCTCCTCCTCCTCCTTCTCCTCCTGTTATTCCTGCAGCGGCTACCCCAGATCTCGGCCCAGACCCACCAGGCCTTCCTCACCAGACTCCGGTCCGCAGATCGCCCCGCCACCAGCCTCCCGACCACCACGCCCTCGCCCTCGCGCTCGCGGAGAGACGGTCTCGGGCCGCGGGTCTCTGGCGGAGCTCCTCGTGCTCGTTGGCGAGAGCACCTGCGCTGACAAAAACTATGCGACGCCCTGCTGAGGGTGGACCAGGCCTCGGAGGAAATTAGCGAACATCCATGCCGCATTCATCTGCCAATGTCCCCCAATGACCAATGTTGGCGGTGGGTTGAACGAGCTGCACTTCGGCCGCAGTCCTGCCCGCGCGTGCCAATCTTGACATTGGGGAAGCGGGGGGGTGTCCACTAATTGTTCCCCTCTTCCGACCCAGGGAGGGAGGAGGAACAATCGGAGCAGGGGCGGGGGGCGGGGGGGGGGAAGTGATAGCGAAAAGCACACGGTGGACCTGCCCCTGGCGCCCCCTCGCGGCGTTTGCCTCGGCCCTTGCCTCCGCCTTTCTGCCACGGGCCCCGCCTGCCTGCATGGACTCGGGAGGCCTACTATCTCGAGAGGACCGTGCCTGCCAGGGAGGTTCGAGGAACGGGTATCGGCGCCACGGGCTGGGGAAGCGGGAGCCGACCCTCGGCGACGACGCTGCTCCTGAAGGCTGCCAGAATCTGCGCGGTCACCTCGACCCCCGAGACTGGTCGTACCGTCACGCCTTGCTGTTCACCGCCCGGGCGAGCTCCCTCCCGAATCCTGCGCGGGGCGCTGCCCAAAACTACTTCTGGCCTCCCGCTCACAACATTTCGTTCACCAGCATGTCGCGAAACTGGCGCACGTTCAAATCGCAGGTGGCTATCGCAAACATGATGCGTCTGTTCTCCTAGCCATTGGTTGGCACATGTTTGTTCTTCTTCACGCTGCAGTGCGGGAAACTCTCGCCCAGTGTCGTTGGGCTCTCTGCCTGCGCCGTCTCCATGAAGAACTTCGCTGCGATCGGAGGGTCGGTATTTGCAGGTCCGCCATCGCCCGGGACAGCTTCGCGGCCACGACGAGCGTGCAGGGGAGGGGCAGCTGCGGCAGGTCCACAGACGGGTCCTGCTCGTGCTGCTCGTGTAGTTCCTTGGCCTGTCTTCGTGTGCGCGCCCCGCCAGGGCGGCGCGCTGGGGCCCGGGCGCTGGAGGCGGCCAGGCGGCTCGGCTGCTCCGAACTGTAGGAGCTCCAGCCAGCCGGGGCTCGGGGCACGGGGGCGGAGGGAAGGACGGAGGGAAAAGGGCGAGGAGGAGGCGGAGGAGGAGGAGGAGTGGGAGGAGGAGGAAGTGGAGGAAGAGGAGGAGGAGGAGGAAATGGAGGAGAAGGAGGAGGGAGGAGAAGGGGGAGGAGGGGGAAGAGGGGAGAGGAGGAGGAGGAGGAGGAGAAGAGGAGGAGGAGGGGGAGAAGGAGGAGGAGGACGACGAGGAGGAAGGAGGACGAGGAAAGACGAGAAGGAGGAGGAGGAGGAGGGCGATGGAGGAGAAGGAGGAGGAGGAGGAGGAGTTCAGGAGGAGGAGGAGGAGGAGGAGGAGGAGGAGGAGGAAGGGGGGAGGAGGAGGAGGAGGAGGAGGAGGAGGAGGAGGAGGAGGAGGAGGAGGAGGAGGAGGGGAGGAGGAGGAGGAGGAGGGGGAGGAGGAGGAGGAGGAGGAGGAGGAGGAGGAGGAGGAGTAGGAGGCCAGCAGCCACGCGACGACCAGGGCGAAGCGGGACGCGCACGGCTCAGCGCGCTTGCCCGCGCCCTCGCGCTGCTTCTCTGGGGGCGCCCGTGCCCTCGGCCCCGCCCCTCTTGCTCCCAGCCCGCTTTTGCGAAGCTCGAAGGGATCGGCTACCTCCATCGCCGAGCGACGTTGCTGCGGCCGTCTTGGCACGCGGGTAGGAGGAGGAGAAGGAACGAGCGAGCGAGCAGAAGCCCAGAGGCAATTGGGTCAGGAGAGCGGTAACAGTCCCAGCACACCCGTCCCAGCCGCAGTTTGCCCCAAAGCCAGAGGGCGAAGAGGGGGCAGACTGCTGGCCAGGCAGGGGAGATAAGACCGAAAGCGCACAAAACGGCGGCCTCGGTGGCCGCGGCGAAACGGGCCTGGAAAGGCAGGCTCACCAACATGGCCTCAGAGACGACACGGAAGAGGGTGGCGTCGAGCAGGTCAAACCCTTCGATCTCCAAGAGTTCGTCCCTCCCAGGGTTCGTCCTCCGAGTCATGGTTCGTGGTGGTGCCAAGGGCCACCATCTCGTCGTATGAAAACCCGAAAATCCTGTAGCATGGTGCCTGTGTCCAGCACTCTCAATGCCGTGACTCGACCACGCTTGCGATTGGGCACGTGTAGGTCGTCAACACACGCCGCGGGGTCAGTCCAGCGCTTGGCCTTGCACAGAAAAACTGAGTGAAGTGGCCGACGGGCTCAGAGCCTCCTCCAGCCTCACTTGACTCTTGCAAGCCTGCAGATGTCGCAGGTGAGGAGGAGAAGGAGGAGGAGGACGAGGGAGAAGGAGGACGAGCACGAGGAGGAGGAGGAGGCGGAGGAGGAGAAAGAGGAAGACAAGGGAGAAGGAGGACGAGGAGGAGGAGGCGGGCGATGGAGGAGGAGGAGGAGGGGGAGGGGGAGGAGGAGGAGGAGGAGGAGGAGGAGGAGGAGGAGAAGGAGGAGGAGGAGGAGAGGAGGAGGAGGAGGAGGAGGAGGAGGAGGAAGGAGGAGGAGGGAGGAGGTGGGGGGGAGGAGGAGGTGGAGGAGGAGGAGGAGGAGGAGGAGGAGAAGAGGAGGAGGAGGCGGAGTGAGGAGAGGAGGAGGAGGGCGAGGAGGGAGGAGGAGGAGGAAGGAGGAGAGGAGGAGGAGGGGGAGAAGGAGGAGGAGGAGAAGGAGGAGGACGAGGAGGAGGAGGAGGAGGAGGACGAGAAGGAGGAGGAAGAGGAGGAGGAGGGGAAGGACGAGGGAGGAGGAGGACGAGGGAGGAGGAGGAGGAAGAGGAGGAGAGGAGGAGGAGGAGGGAGGAGGAGGAGGAGGAGGAGGAGGAGGAGGACGACGAGGGAGGAGGAGGAGGAGGAGGAGGAGAAGGAGGAGGAGGAGGAGGAGGACGACGACTACGACGACGGGCAGGACGAGGAGGAGGAGAACGACGAGGACGACGAGGCGAGACTCATAATCGATGGCCCCTTTAGGGAGGGCACGGCCCATCACAAACACACACACACACACTGATCCTGAACAGTCAGAGGCCGAAGTGGATGAGAATGAGCAACAAGGAGGACACAACGGAGGAGGAGGAGAAGCAGGAGGGGGAAAACGAGGAGGAGGAGAAGCAGGAGGAGGAGGAGGAGAAGCAGGGTAGCCCCCCAAGACGTTGCCCCTGAAGCCCGAGCTCGGCCCGCCCCCCAGCGCGCCGGCGGCGACGGCGCGCCGCCCGCGGCGCGCGCCCCGGCGGGGTCCGCCAGCAGCGCGGCCACCTCGCGGGCGGAGCGCGCGGGGCAGTTGACGGCAGGCGGCGGCGGCCGCGGCGGCAGGCGGCAGGCGGCGGACGGCAGGCGGCAGGCGGCGGCCGCGGCGGCAGGCGGCAGGCGGCAGGCGGCGCCAGCGGGGGGAGAGACCGCGGAATACGGGCTGCACGTCCGAGGCGGGAAGCACGCCCCTTCTCGGCTGAGAGGGGAGGGGGGCAAAGCGGGGGGGCCGCGGGGGCCAGGCGCGCGACGGCTCGACGAGATCGAGGCGGGGCTGGCGCTTGACCGATGCCTAACCTGTCTCGAGGCCGTCGTCGCCGTCGTCGTCGTCGCCGGGCGGGCCCGCCGCTCGCCTCCATTCCGTCCTCATTCCCTCGCTCTTTCCGCCTCCATTCCTCCCACCTCCCTTCCCCCCTCCTTTCCCGTGGTGGGTCAGTGTGGTGACGCAGCAGGCCAGCACGGCATTTTGCCAGCTCTGCCTAGATGTGCGCCGTGCATACCCGTCGCGTGTGTGTGTGTGTGCGTGTGTGTGTGTGTATGTGTATGTGTATGTGTATGTGTGTATGTGTATATGTATGTGTGTATGTGTATGTGTATGCGTATGTGTGTATGTGTGTATATGTATGTGTGTATGTGTGTATGTGTGTATGTAAATGTGTATGTAAATGTGTATGTAAATGCGTATGTGTATGTGTATGTGTATGTGTATGTGTATACGTGTGTGTGTATGTGTATGTGTATGTGTATGTGTATGTATATGTATATGTATATGTGTATGTGTATGTGTATGTGTATGTGTATGTGTATTTGTATGTGTATGTGTATGTGTATGTGTATGTGTATGTGTATGTGTGATTGTGTGTGATTGTGTGTGACTGTGTGTGTGATGGTGTGTGATTGTGTGTGATTGTGTGTGATTGTGTGTGTGATTGTGTGTGATTGTGTGTGATTGTGTGTGTTTGTGTGTGTGATTGTGTGTGTGTTTGTGCGTGTGATTGTGCGTGTGATTGTGCGTGTGATTGTGTGTGTGATTGTGTGTGTGATTGTGTGTGTGATTGTGTGTGATTGTGTGTGATTGTGTGTGTGATTGTGTGTGATTGTGTGTGTGATTGTGTGTAATTGTGTGTTGTGTGTGATTGTGTGTGATTGTGTGTGATTGTGTGTGATTGTGTGTGATTGTGTGTGATTGTGTGTGATTGTGTGTATTGTGTGTGATTGTGTGTGCGATTGTGTGTGTGATTGTGTGTGATTGTGTGTGTGACTGTGTGTGCGATTGTGTGTGACTGTGTGTGTGATTGTGTGTGATTGTGTGTGATTGTGTGTGATTGTGTGTGATTGTGTGTGATTGTGTGTGATTGTGTGTGATTGTGAATGATTGTGTGTGTGATTGTGTGTGGTTGTGTGTGATTGTGTGTGATTGTGTGTGTGATTGTGTGATTGTGTGTGATTGTGTGTGCGATTGTGTGTGATTGTGTGTGATTGTGTGTGTGACTGTGTGTGCGATTGTGTGTGACTGTGTGTGTGATTGTGTGTGATTGTGTGTGATTGTGTGTGTGAGTGTGTGTGTGTTTTATGTGTGTGTGCGTGCGTGCGTGCGTGCGTGCGTGCGTGCGTGCGTGCGCGTGTGTGTGTGTGTGCGCCACACTTGACCTAGACCTAAGGGGGCTCCCGGCAGATCACTCCGACAGACCCGTCGGGTTTGGGATGGGAGGCAGGTTGGGAGGGGTCGGGACGGAGCTCCCTTACTGCCCCTCTCGGCCCGCATTCGCTCTCGGGCCGCCCCGCCGCCATCCTTGCTTGGCGTACATCGGCCAGAGGTTCACCCGCCCCTCCTGGGACCGGTTTCGGACAGCAGAGTAGGGCATGCCCAGGGGTCCACGTGAGCCCAGCTGGGGCGCCTGGTGCGCCCGATGCGCACGGCACGAGAGCCGATGCTGCAGGGATCTGGGGCCAAAATCGGGGTGCCCCCCTTCAAAACTTGTCCTCGGCACTCCACGGGTGGAGAGCGCCGGGGACAGTGCCTTCTCGGCTGGCGTCGGCGACGGGCCGAGGACCGACCGAAGCTGCTGCGCGGCCGCCTCGAGCTGTTTCTTGGCAGCCAAGCCTTGCCCCTGGAGCTCTCAAGAGCCCGCGGGCCTCGGCCCCGCGAAGACAGCCACCTCCTCCTTCGAGGAAATGAAGTGCTGCGTCAGTGGGTGACGAGTCGCAGCCATCAGCCTGCGAATCCTGGAATCAAGCGTGATTTCGCTGCAAAGATGCTTGACAAGGAGCTGGGGTCGCACGTTGCTTGGCACGAAATTATCAATCGAATAGTGCGAAGGATAGCCTGCTGCGGGGGAGGGTCAGCACGGCTCGTAAATGTGAGAGCAGCGCCAAAGAGCATGAAACTGTCTGGGGCTCCAAGACCGTGACCCTCCATTCCTCTCACGCGAGGCAGTTACTCATTGTCATTGAGCAGTCTCCATCGCAACCTAGATGGGATCGGCAACTTCGAGCGCGAACACGCTGCCTCGAGAAGGCGGTTCCTCTGGGCGTTGATGGCTCCGAGCTTGATGGCAAGGTCTGCTTTCTTATCAACGGCGCCGTCCTCGGCAGCCTGTTTTTTTCCGAGCCTGGGCTCCTGGATCAGCGGCGAAGGCGGCAGCAGGCTCTCTCCCATCTTGCCGAAATGCGCTGCCCACTGCTGCGGCATCTCTCTACAATACCAGTATCTGGCCGTGCAGTTGTAGATGCTGCCTGAAACGACACTGAACCTCAGAGTAGCCATCGAAAGAACTGTCGCACGGTTGGCATTCGCAGGGAGGAGGCACCACATGAGAGAATACCGTGGCGGAACCATGGGGCATCGGACATGTTTCGGTTGACCAAACTTTTAAGCAACCGCTCACTTGCAATGCGCTTGGCCGAAAACAGATTCCCACAACATGGACAAGCGATTGAAACCGTCACAACTCAAGCCAGTTCCCGATCCGCGGTTAGGAAGTTGCCATTTAGCTCGGCGTAGTCGTAGCTGACGCCAAGTGGAGAAGTCCGCACCACAGATACCTTCCCCCGACCCTGGGACGAAGCCGCACACGAAGGGGGGCGGGGGAGGGGGACACGGAGGCGGGGGGAAGGCACCCAAGGCCCAAGGGACTCAGGGGGAGGTATAGGTTCACCTCGGTAACTTTACTTGCCAGCATGCGAGGACCAGTATGCAAAAACGCATACCGCACTCCATCATATAAAATAACGACAGGTCGCGCGCAGTCTCTCGAAATGCTTCGGACACTCGCCCACAAAGAAGAGGCCATAAATATCGTCCTGAAAACTGCCGGCACCACGAACGGAGAGGACCGAGACCCGTCTCAATCAAGATACCCAAGCTCCGAGTCCTCCTAGCCGTTTCTCCAAACATGGCCACCAAAATCTGGAGGAGGGGGAGGGGAGGAGAGGGACGTCTGAGAAAGGAAGGGCGCACGATGGAGGACCACGGACGAGAAGGAGAGAGCAGGGAGGACGGCAGAGGCACAGGCGGATTGAGGAGGAGGGAGCACCTGTGTGGGCCAGGACGAACAGAGGCAACAGAGCCGGAAGAGCCCGCGCGCCTGCTCGACTGGCAAGGCACTCCTGCCATCTGCGCCCAGCTCCTGCGGCAGGGCACGGGCAGTCGGGAAAAACGAGCCGAGGAACGGGAGGAGGACAAGACCCCATCGCGTCGCGGAAGAAACACGGCCCGATGTTTCTTGTTACTCTCATCCGCCAGAGGCGTTCACCAGGCCTCGGGAGCCTCAACAATTCAGGGCGAAAAGGTGGTCCCCAGGAAAGGGGGTCAGACCTCTGGGGATCCACGTCGCAGCATAATCACGGCGTCCGGAGTCTGAGGATCAGGATGGAGACAGAGAAGGGGAAAAGAGGAGAGAGAAGAGGAATGATCCGCGGGCCCCCTTGCGGGACCATCAGGCTGCGAAGACCAGGCTTGCAGCTCCCTGTGCCAGTCGCAGGTTCCACTTTCCACTGTTACAGTCCTGCTTTCTGCTTCCTTGATGTTAATTGTTGCTGAACGCGCGAGGGGGGGAAGCCGAAAAGCGTCCTGGCTAGCGTCCCCGAATCACTTTGTCTGAATTCTGGGGGGGTCGTGGGACACCTAGCAAAGCATGATATTCACGACCCCGCGGCCAGGATCCCTAACAAATTACACCGTATTCGCGCCCCCGAAGCCACAAACCCACTCAAATTCCACCATACTCGCGTCCCCAAACCCATCATCCCCGAAACCATAAATCTTTGCAAATTACACCGCGCTCGCGTCCCCGAAGCCATAATCACCGGTATAGTACACCATATTCGCGTCCCAAGCGCCAGAAACCTTCGCAAATTAAGCCGTATTTGCATCCCCGAGGCCATGAACCCTGGCAAATTACACTAGACTTGCGCCCCCGAGGCGACAAATCCTTGCAAATTGCAAACAATACTTGCGTCCCCGACACCATAAAACCTTGTAAATTCTACAATACTTGCGCCCCCGAGGCCATCAACCTTTTGTACAGTACCCCGCCTCCTTAAGCCCCCTAATATTCTTAATCTCCGGCCAATGGCATTTGATTGAAGAAGAAGGCGCGGAGGCCGAACAGTATAATCCACGGGAAAGTTGCGGGGATCGAAGTTGCTATCATATCGTGTTGACTAGCAACAGCATCAAAAATGTTGTGCCTTCTTTTTGTTGTTGTCTCTTCCTGTTGCTAAAAGTCCGTTTCTCTTTCTCGTCCTTCCGCCTTCCCCCCAGGGGCCGAACCGTTTTGTCTCCAGGTTTGTTGATCCCCCGCGGGGTCCCACCATGGACACCCCCTCCATGCGATCCTGAAAACGATAAACATGAATATGTTTTTTTACGAAAAAACATTAGGCCCCGAATCAAACAAAAACATCGAAATCGATCCTGGGGTCATCCTCTTCTCTTATCCGTCTCCCACCATTATTATTATTTTCATCCTGCTCGTGCTCCTATTAGTAAAAAGGGTTTCTTGGCCAGATCGGCCAAGGACCTCTCTTGCGCTGGCAACATGTCGGCGCCTGCTTAGCCACGAGCCTCGAGATCGTTCGAGTCAGCCTTGTGTCGTGCGCCTGGATAGTCGCGAGCCTCGAGATCTCTCGAGTGAGTCTTGTGCCGTCATCACCATCATCATCGTCATCAACGTCACCATCCTCATCCTACCTGACCTTCCCCCGGGAAATCTTACATAATCCCCGCGAACCGCGAACTTTATTATCCCAGGGAGGCCATTATCGCCCGCACTCGGTTATTCAATCGTTGCGACTGCGAGGCCACAAACCCTCGTTAATTTCACAATGTTCGCGCGAAGCCATAGGCGGTTGTATAACCGAAGCCATAAGCCCAACCGAAGCCATAAACCCTTGTAAATTAGTATGGGCCATCGCGCGAAGTCCCGACATCGCTTCGCGCCAGCGTCCAGACATCACACCACACCTCTGGCAACTCCCATTCCAAGAGAGGGGGGTGGCGGCATGGGGCGAAGCCCTTACGGATAAAGAGGATGACTGAGAAACGATAGAGAGCAGAGGCCATCTTTGCCCTCGCTGCTTCAAGCCGCGAACTGGGGGCGCCGCGACAAAGAAATGCTTCCCCCGGCAGCATGTAAGTGAGTGAGTGCGTGTGCAAGCGTGTGTGATTGCGTGAGAACCTGAATTAATGCACGCGCGTGGCTGCGTTGGTTTATGCGTGTTTTTGCGCGTGCGTGCACATGCGCGTCGGCGCGCGCGCGCGCGCGCGCCAGCGTGCGCGCGCGCACGCGCGCAAGGGTGCGCGCCTGAGCCTGCGTTTGCGCGCGCGTGCGAGCGCTCGCACGGGTGTCCGCGCGCGCGCGTGCATGTGCATGTGCGCATGCGCGTTTGAGCGCACGTGCGCGCGCGGGTTTGCGCGCGGCGTGCGCTGCGCGCGCGGGCATGCGCGCGCGCTGCGCGTGCGCGCGCATTGCGCGCTGCGCGTTGCGCGCTGCAGGCCGCGCACTGCGCGTCGCGCGCGGCGCGCCGCGCGTCGCGGTTGCGCGCTGCGCGCTGCGCCCCGCGCGTGTCGAGCTGAACGTTGCGCGAGGGGCGCCACGCATGCACGCGCGCGCTGCGATAATTTGACGCGTTGCTCCGCGGGCACATCGAGCGCCTCGGGGGGGCGGGGGGGCGGGGGCAAGGGCAGGTTGCAGCGCGGCGCCCTCGCCGCGCTGCGCGTCGCGCGGAGCCTGGCCGGGCCCTCCCGGAAGCTCCCGGTGCTTCCCCGGGGCCCTTCGGGACCGACTGGGGCCCTCTTGCCCCCCCGGGCCCCCCCGGCGCCCCGCGAGAATCTGGGGAGGGGTCCGCCGAGGGCCCCCAGGCCCTTCGGGTGGCATCGCGGACGAATTCTCGACAATAAATAGTGCGTCCTCCTCCGTTGGCCCGTTCGACAATTGGAATGGTCGGGAACCCCCTGGAGCTTCTCGGGCACTCCTCGGAGCTGATCGGAGGCCCGCCCGACACGCGGCCCCCTCCTCTGTAGACGACGTCGCTCAATCTGGACCCCTCCAGAGTAGCGACGGCCCTCGGGGAACACCAAGGAGAGCGAGCCGCCAGGAAACTCCAAGGACCCCCCGAATCCGCCGAACCCAGAGGCGCGCGGGAATAAATCGCGCACATGGACTCCTGCACTCCACACATTCACCACTCCCCGATCTACATGACCGACGCTGGCCCCGACCCCCGCCGCCCCAAACCCCAGCCCCCGGAGCCCGCCGCCGTCCAGATCGGACCTCGGCAGCCTCCATCCTACTATTTCTTGCCCGGAACTGCCCCCGACCCCCCGCCGCGCCCCTGGCCGCCCCCGCCCCCCCCCCTTCCCCCCCCCCTCCGACAACGCCCAACGCCGCTCGGATGCGTCTCCAGGGAAGGGGGGATTTCTCGCCCGGAACAAACCGCGCCCCCCCCCCCCCCCGACGCCCAACACCGTCCGGATGTCCCAGCGTGGGGCCCGCCGTCGACTCTCGACACTCTCTCGCCCGCTCAGAACCGACCCTCGACACTCTCGACACTCTCTCGACCCCCAGCCACGCCTTCCCGACGCGCGCCGCCGCCTGGATGCATCTTTTTGAACCTTCCACTCTCTGCCCGGAACCGACCACGACATCCCCGCCGCCGCCGCCCTGCGCTCGCCGCCGCGGGGGCGCGTGAAACCGACCCCGACCCGCCGCGGCGCCACCGCCGCCCCCCACCCCGCCCGACACCCGACGCCGCCCGGCAATCTCTTCGCGGGACTCTCCACTCGACAAGCTCTCGCTCGGAACCAAACCCGACCCGCCCCGCCGCCGCCGCCCGGGCGCGCGCTTCCGGGCCCCCCACTCGACCATCTCACCCGGAATCAACCCCGACACCCCGCCGAACCTCCGCCCCGCCCTACGCCCCCCGCGACGCGGGCCCGACGACCTTTTCTCGCTCGGAATCGACCCAGACCTCTGCGAGGCACCTGAACTATCTGAACCTCCACCCCCTGCGACCCCCGCCCCCCCCCCTGAAGCATATAGCTCATCGCGCGCGCCCCGCTTTCGCCGGCGCCGCGACGCTCGCCTCCGCCGCCCCACACATCCGGACGTCATGAAAAAAACCAATACGTGAGAGGAAGTCATGGTTTTAAACCAAGACGTGGGCGAAAAACCAAGACATCATAAAAAAAAACCATTACAACACTCTTGCTGGATATGTTGTCCAGTACACAGAATGCAGCGTACCACAGTGGCCGATATATATATATATACATACATATTTATATATATGACACGATGATTCGATGCATTCCTTCAGGTCGCATAGTAAGTGGAAGCAGCTTTGGGACAGGGCCGTCGTCACCGCTTGTCGCGATCCCGCGGGCTCGAACAGCCGACGCCGAATATGTATCTATATATATGTATATATATGTATACATATGTACAAGTGTTGCCTGTTTTTTATGTTTGTTAATATTGTTTGTTGTCTAGTGTTTTTTTTTTTTGCACAACATCCCAAACGTTGCATGCGCGACATGTCGCACCGCTCTCCGCGGCGAACCTCGAGCCGAGCCGACGGTCGCACCGTTCTCGGTCGGAGAGATGCCCTGGGGCGGGAGGTTTAGTTTTGTCATGGGGTGGGGGTTATGAGGAAGGCAGAGAAAGGGGACATATTCTTTCACTTCGTATATATGCGCGCCCGAAGGCAAAGCGGCCGCGCGGCCACTTTAGCGCCACCCCACATGGCATCGCCACGGAGATGGGCAGAAACAAGAAGCCTCTGGGGCGGCTTGCGCCAGAAACAGGCCAGCGCACGATGGGCGGCCTGCACCTGAAACAAGCCAGCGCACCTCGAGGGCGGCCTGCACCAGAAACAAGCCAGCGCACACATACATACATACATACATACATACATACATACGTACGTACGTACATACATACATATGTATATATATAGTGTTGGTTGGGTGTCTATATATATATGTATGTAATTATAAGTATATGTATATGTATATGTACATGCATGTGTATGTATATATATGTGTATATGTATATATATGTGTAAATGTAAATGTACATGTGCATGTACATGTATATGCATATGTATATGTATATGTATATGCATA